TTTTTTTTTTGTCTTGTTGAGATAGGGTCTCACTATGCAGTTCAGGCTGGCCTTGAGCTCACTTTGTAGCCCAGGCTGGTCTGGAATGCACAATGATCTGTCTGCCTCAGCCTACTAAGTGCTGGGATTACAGGCGTGCGTTACCATGCCTGGTTAGTTTTCTTCTTTAATACATTTTTCCCCTAAGCTTACAGGGAAAATATTCCAGGTAGTCTCCCATCCAAGTGATAACCAAAACCAAACCTGCGGACTGTATGAGATCAGCCGAAATTAGGCATGTTTAGGGTGGCTGTCCATCTACTCAACTAGTAATTTTCTGAATGAATGGGAATACAGGTGTGCACCACGTCACCATGATCAGCTTTCTTTGGTATTCTGAGACAGGGTCTTGCTATGTAGTCCAGGCTGGCCTTAAACTCTGTGCAATCTTTCTCTCCCAGTCCCCAGAGTGCTGGGATGACAGGCCTACATCACCACGTCTGGCTTTAACAAGTAATTGCAGAATGCTTAGACTCTGGGTGTGGTTGCACATGCCTGACATCCCCACGGGGGAGGCAGAGGTAGAGGAACTCTGGAAGGCTGAGGGCAGCCTGTACTGCACAGTAAGTTCAAAGCCAGCCTCAACTATCTAGTGAGGCCCTGTCTTATACCACACCCTTCAAGAAAGCCCAGAATTTTAAGTTTTCCTACTATTTTTTACAATATTTTGACCCAGGAAGACAGTCAGGTTTAAAAGTTCTAAATATCATTTGCATCTAGAAATGCAAATCTTGCATGTTCTGCTGCCTTTATATTAAACAAATATCCAATGTTTCGAATTAAAAATAGCAATGTCCCTTGTCCAGTGCTGATAACCTGAATATTTATGCCTTTGTTTACTCGTTCTGTAATGACTGATTTAATATTTTACATAAATATTGAAGTCTGCCAAATCTACAATTTAAATTTTTCTTCTCCTAACTGAATTTTCACTAGTAAAACTAACCAAATTGGAACATTTAAATTTGAGAAACTTGGGACTAGGGATACAGCTCAGCAGTACAGAGCCCATCTGGCAAGCTCAAGATCCTGTGTTTTTTATGTTTAATTCCTGGTAAACATAAAAAAAAAAAAACCAAGACAAAGCAAATTCAAGAAACTTGAGTATATGGAAAGAGTAAATGTGGAAAGTACATTAATGCTTTTAAGCTTTAGTATACTAAAGACCACCCCTAGATAGGGTCTGGCCTCAAAACCAGTGATCCTCCTGCCTCAGCTTCCTAAACGTGGACCTGGGATTTCAGGCATGTACCACCAGGTTTGGCTAAAGTATTGATTTTTAAATGCTAATAAATGGTTTCAAAAACAACGTGTTTATTAAAAGAATATAAACTAAAGAAAAATGGCCCAGTAGGTCAGGTACAGCAAGCTGCCATGCTGTGACACTGCAGTACGTCAGCACTAGGCCTTTCTTTCAGAGAAGTGACCAAAGCCGGCAAAGCTTTGGCCTAAGGAGTTCAGGTTACCCTACAATTTTAAGAAAAACCAAAGCTCAAGCAGAATACTACTCTGACCTGCGCTTCAATGACGTAAATCAATTATTAAACTGAAGTATTTTACAGGTTTCTTGGTAAAGGAAAATTACAGTCAAACACTTTGGACTAGAGAAATCATGTTCCTAAAGCAGCACAACAGAGAGCAGCACGCGTTTGTGTACACAATCTACACGAACTAGGTCGCAACAATTAAATCCTGGTAAGTTCTGTAATTTGATAATAATTTTAATATTGTACTCACCTTAGAAGCTTGCCTTAGAACATCCACCACAACTTTAACTGGTAAGCCTGCTGTTATTTCTTTCATTGCCTCAATGCACCATTTGTATGCCTAAAAAAAAAATTAAGAAGAAACAAATGGTTATAAATTAAACTGACAGCACTGATAAAATGATTGAGAACTTTTTGGCCAGGGAGATAGCTCAGCGGTCTAAGCGCCTGCCTGGCAAGCACAAGGACTGGGGTCCACGGGCCAGCTCCACGGTGTGCCAGCTACTGAAACTGGGTGTGGTGGCACACCCCTGGAATCCCAGCACTGCGTGAGGCTGAGACAGGAGGATCACTATGAATCTGAGCTTCGTAGCAAGATCCTATACCAAATAAATAAATAAATAAATAAAGCTTCAAAAAAATGAGAATTTCTCGTGAATGAAATGAATGAGTTTCTAACTACTTAAATGAGGGCCAGAGAGATAGCTCAACAGAATAAGCATGTGCTTGGCAAGTGCAGGGTCCTGACTTCAATCCCTGGTTCCACAAAAATAAATAAATAAATAAATAAATAAATAAATAAATAAATTAAAGTAACTACTTAAATGAGAACACATACCAACTATTTACATATATCATTTTTGAGGCTAAATTTTCTTTAAAGTATTAATCTGTTAAATTATTTTTACATTCTTTTGGGGAAAAAAAAAAAAGAAAAATTTATCTTTTGGTGCCAGGAATGGAACTCAGGACCTTGAGCCTGCCTGGCAGGTGGTGTACTCCTGAACTATATCCCCAGCTCCTATTTTTAATATTAGTATCTGAAACATTTCAGAATCATCTTTTGCAAGTGTGTGACATACTCTTCGTCCTAGAAGCCTTTCTTTATTTTTTTTTAAATTTTATTTATTTATTTAAGTGTGTGTGTGTGTGTGTGTGTGTGGCCAGCTCA